ACCAGGAACAGCCCGTGAATATATTAATCATCCAAATCACACTAACACGAAAGTTTTTTTAGCCATCACCCTACCCTCATTTCCACAGTATACCTTGAACACCCCTAACGACACTAACGACACACGTAATTTTGTAGATGAACAAGTTTTAATGCCTACACTTCATTGGACATCATATTATCATTTTACTAACCCCCTTTGCCTACCTTTATCTAATACTCACATCGATATAGAAAGAAATAAAGATATGCTATTTCGACTCACCACACCACTAACACATAGACAATTTACTTATATAGGATATAAAAAGTCACTCAAAACATACACTGCACCCCGAGCTAATGAATACACGCTAGAATATTACGATCACAACATCATCCGAGCTAACCAAGACCAATTTTTAGATGATGACCGTTTCGCTAACCCACAAATCACAGAAAAATTTTTCATCAAAACACCATATGTATTTACACTCAATATATTTGACCGCAAATTCGATCACATCATTTCTGAAGCACTCACCGACACACAATCTTACGAAAGTTTTAAAGAAAAATTTCAATTATTTTCACTAACTTTTCATTTCCTTGCACCACATGAAAGAGATTTGCACTGCTCACACGATATTATGTTACGCACTAAACAAACTCACACATATACATATTATCGCTTCATACAAAATCACTTTGATCTACACACTCCATCAAGACAACCACACCACCGTTTTCAATTTATAAACTCTAAGTACACTTCATCATTTTTTCTTAACTTCACATATTGCATCAAAGATACTAACCTTCACGGTATTCTTCGCAATTATGATCCCATAACCCAAACGTATATTTTTTGTCCCTTCACAAAGACCTTCAACGCAGAAGAATCCAGACCCTTCCTTATCCCACATGAATTTGTTCAACCTATAGAAATCCCAATATTAGAATTCATCCACAACACTAAATACAATCACAAATTATATAATCTCATCCAAAACACACCTTATGATTTTGCAGTTGGCACTGAAGAACTAAAAACCATTAAAGCACTTCAATTGCTTTGGCCACTGCTTCAAACTAAAAACATCATTCGCATACTAGCAAAATTACTAACAAATTCCGACATAATACACGACATCTTCCCCCACGGTTTTTTCCCCGACGACTAACAGGTAAGTATAATTTATCATATTCTTAACTAATAAATTCAAATTAAAAAACTAACCATTCTTTATCCATGTCTCATTTTGATTTTTAGTCTTCATCTCACGATCATCTGCAAAATACACAAAAGAAAAATAAAAAATAGAAAACTTCTTCAAATTGTTCAAAACTCTAATAATCTTTTGCACCAGCTAAATTAAATAAAGTTCATACAAATGTAGTAAATTAATTTATAAATTATTTCCCTAAAAGCTGTAATTCTAATAATGATGAAAATTTGTAACTTAATTTTTCCCCAAAACTAGCAGTAAAATTGAAATTCTATGTAGTAAACTGATAAGACGAAAATGCAGTACTAACCTTTTGATGTTTTCATTCACTCGCACAAGAATTCTATCCAAACTCGCACAGCTCGCCCACGAAGAATTGTTTAAAATAATGAATTTCAGTTTCAAGTTTTCACACTCAACAACTCTAACACACGATAACAAGTTTCAAACTTTCCTTTAACCCGGTTGGAAAGGAATTATATACTAAACAAAACTAACCAACGCAGCTTACTAAACACCACAACACATAGAATAACAGCATGACTAAGAAAAGGAAACCAACGGTACCCAAACCGGATTAACCCAGTTTAAAACTGGATAATTTATTCTTTTGAAGACTATTATAAAGTCTAAGAAAGAAATAATAAAACACAAAAAAGTCGAAAGACAAACCCATACCAAAAACATATTGATTTTTGAAAAAAGGACACAACCAACGAAACATAAGAAAAACCACAATAAACCCAACATAAACCCATCACATAACACGACCTCTCACAGAAACCGCACGAAATAATACGCCTAACCCACCAGAGAGGACGTCCTGAGCATGCTCTATAGCCGGCCTAACCCACCGCGCTACATCCACGCTTTGTGACCACACTTCTATTTTTAATAAGAGGTACTCAAGGGTGAGTAACTCTTCAAAATAACCAAACTAAAACAAAAAGCTTTTGTGAAAACAACTAACCAAAATCATAATTAAAACACCAAACTAATAAAAATTTTATAAAAGGTAAATTATACCTTGCAGTATATAGATCAGCATACAACACCAAAGACGAACATCCAAAGACAAAATGACCCAACTACACTCGAAAAAGAATGGCCAACCACAATCAATATGCCGCCCACAATCACAACTCAAAGGATTTAGAGTACGACTTGACTTCGCAGAAAAGGACTTCATTGAACTAGAACAATGACCACCTCGATGTTCAAGTATACGTACAGATCCGAGTAACCAGGCATCCCCTCCACGCACAATCTCCACGCCATTCCCAGACAAGGTCAACCCAAAAGAAATTCTCTACATGGAACAGAAAAACCTGTCATAGCCAACCATTCTGAAATCAGATTTGAGTTTGTTGCGAAAACCCAGTCGTTGTCATGAGAAGACACAGCGATTGAACCTGGAACTTCTCTAACAAGAGAACCCAGAAGAATTATGATGTTCGCCAAATACCAACGTCCATCATCCATCCTTTGAATTGCAGAAAGACTATTCTAAAAAACTCTGTAAAACCCGGATGGGTGGAACCTGATCTAAACTACATTTTATGATTGGATAAATTAGATATTTTACCACTGTAAAGTATTTAATATTAACCAATCATGATCCATCTAACTTACAACCCACTTATTTGTAAGTGCTGAAATTACTTGTAATTTCAGCACCAGAGAGATTTGAATTTAACTTAAAAATTAGTTGACTCTCCAAGAGAACTTCAGCAGCCGCAATAAACCAGTATACCCTAGATCTATTGAGCCTAGCAGAGACTAGTTAAACAACCTGAGACTAGATAAGTATAAGAGTAAGATTAGGATCGGTATTAGACTAAGAAGTTGCACGAATCTATCCGGCCGAAAATAAGATAGCGTGACGAGCAGACGGTGTACCCTATCCTAAATTACTCCATGAGTTAACCACCTCGGTTATAACTCAACTGGTATCCCCTTCAATTTACTCATTTTTTCATATTTGATGTTTCCTTCAATTTCATTCCCGTGATTTTCGAATCAGAAAGCAAAACATTTTTAACTTTAGGTTCGCGGTATTCAATGTAAGTGATAAGCAAACTTCTATGTATCAAACATAAAACAATCAAGGGCTTAATGACATGTCAAAGAAATTAATTAATCCCAATTCTGCTTCGTACGCACGATGTGTACAATTGTGATAAAAAATATTCGGTTTATTTTTTATTGATAGTCTCTAAACCAATTACGTAGTATAAACTGTTTGCTCTAATGAAATCACCAATGTTTTTCTGAAATTGTGGCTTAGTTTTTCACAGAATGAAGTTTATCTTTTAATATGAAGTATGAGAATATTAACTTTCGTTTCACACAAACATTCATGGTTCGTTACTTTTAATTCTTTTGTACAAATAAATTGAACCACGCTTAAGACAAAAATGCACAAGTTTTTGCAAGAAAAATTACTTTCTAAAATGTGAGTTTGTGCAAAGAATTGATTTTGCAAAAAAATTTCAATAAATTTTTCAAAAAATTGTTCTAGCCATGTACAAAATTGCTCAGCTTACAGTTTTCATTAAATTTGACTCTATAAAACATTACGGAAGCTAATAAAAATTTGTATAATTTGTTCATTTGTTCGCAGTTTTTAGTTTTTAATGCTTAATTTACCGCTTAGCCCGTATAATTCAAAATTTGTCTCTTTTTCTGCCCTTGGGTTTTTTCTACTCTTAGAGCATTCAGCTCAATAGACAATCCACCGAGTCAAAGATGTCTACTTTGAAGTTTAGTATTTGACAACCTAACTTAGATTGTTGCCTTAGAAATTGGCCTTTTACGGTTAAATTTTAATTTTAGCAGAGTATTTTTTTCTTACATTGATTGATATTACTCAGCTCAGTATCCTAATTAGGCAAAGATCAATTCTGACATAAAAGAGATAGTAGAAATTGAAAACAGCAAAACAGTTTATGCGCCTGTCACTTCATTTAAAATTGAAACAAAAATCAAGATAACTTACTTTTCTGGTTTTCAATCATTTTCAATGTGACTAAAGGGAACTGAAATTAGAAATCAAATGATATAATATTTAACAATTTTAAGCAAAAAAAACTATTTTGTTACACTGCTGAAACTCTTCAAGCAGAGTGCTCGTATAACGGGAAGAAACCCAAATTTTCAGACTTTTTTTTAACGGAACTCGATTTTTTTTGGCAAGAAAACACCAGCAACAAAGAATAGTTTCAAACTTTCAAAACTAATCACAAACAAAACAAGGAAGATCTTTAATTTCAAGGAGTCTTTTGGATTATTTTTCTGTTTCTATTATAATATAAGATCAGGTTTTTGAAGTTTGTTGACGATTTTATTGGAGCATTTGTTGAATCAATCCAAAGGTTGTAAATAGTAAAAAGATTGCATGTATCAGAGCTGTTAAGCTCTTATTTTAATCTGTTCTTAGTTTTATTGTACATGTCAAGCAAAATATAAAAAGAAAATTAAAAAAAACTCAGAAGTAAAATGCGTCTGATAAAAAAAGTAATTGGAACGAATAGCTCGAATCAATTCAACCCGTATTGATTTAATTATGCTCCTGTTTTTTCTATGTTTGAGTTTTTGTGAAATTTTCATGTTGGTTATTGTTTTTATATCAGTTTGCTAAAGTTCTCGTGACAACCGAATTGACCAAAAGTGCTTGTCAAATTTAATCAAGCAATTCCGTGCCTTTCCATGCGTATAGAAAAATTTATAAAAATCTGATTGCCTGTTTCGAAAACCAATTGACAGTTTACATTGAATATTTGTGTATAACTACCTGTTAATTGCAATGTGGAAACCCTTGGGATGTTCTTTCATATAAGTGATAGTATCGAAGGATCTGCGCACACCGATGACTTTCAGAGGTTGCCGAAAAGTTCCATGGAAGTCTCCCATTTTGTACGAGTACCCTTTACCCCTAACATTATGCAGATGTTTCGCCTGTTTCCGAGAAACTTCACAAATCCTTCTGGTAGCTTCCATCAACCCCAGACTCCGATTTTTCAACATTGGCAAGAATATGAGCTCGTTTCCAATTAGAGAGTTTGGATGGGCATCGATGACGTTGCCTAATAATACACTTTCTCGTTCAGAGGTTACAAGCATTGTAATAGAAAAACAAAAACTGCTATTATTGGTTCAAACAGCTCATAATTCGTTCCACTAGTCGGACTCAGCAAGTTCTGCAAAAACTGAAAAAATAAGTTCCGTTTTTCAATGAAGGTTATGCAATACATGTAGTTTGTTTTTCTCTTAGACAAAATTTTACTTATTAGATAAAAATGTTTGCTACTTGAAGCCATCTGTTTTGTAATCAATTTTTTTATTTTAACAAAAACAAAAACAGAGATATGTGTTAGCTCCCAGAGATAATCATCGCTGTAACATAGAAAACCCCTTTTATGAAAAGTTCCATCAATGATTCAATGTTTAACCTAGATTGACGATTATTTTTAAGGTTTTAAGAAGACTACCACAAAAATAATTGTCGGGATTGGTTCAGCTATAATTTAACAATGATTTAGCACTGGAAAGTTCAAAAAAAAATAGGACCGAAACAACGTACAAAAATCGCTAATTTTCCTGATTTTTTTGTTACGGGACGTGGAAGAGCTCAAAAATCAATTTGGTCGACATAAAAGAAAAAAGTCGACAAAATTTTTCAATTAAAGAAAAAAGTTCACCTTTGCTTTGAAAAAATCGTAAGTTCGTTACTGGTTACGATTTTTCAATCGGTAAAAACAGCTATTTAAGTTAAAATTGTTCCGACTTAGAGCTTTTAACTGATATCACTGGAATATTTCTTCGAAGAAATATCATGCTGCCCAAAAATAAAAACCTGCAAACCTGCTGAAATTTTCTTATGTAACAATATAGATTCTCTATCGACTGCCACAAAAAACACTCATACCTTTTCGATAGGCATGTACAAACGAAATTATTTTTAGCGTTAATCTTCTTTTGACGAAACTTTCGAAGTTCAATTATACACAATAGTTTGTTTGGTATATAAGTGCGCTAAAACTAATTGTTATTTTAAATAACCCGGATTGAGCTACCATTTGTCGAAATTGTTCAAGTCTTTATTGATAAGATTTTACTTGCCGTTGCATCGATTTTTTTTCTAAAGTTCATGCGAATCGCAGAGGAGCTATCAGTAGGCCTTAACATTCCTGTCGAAGGATAGTTCATTTGAATTACCTCCGCAAATTCCAGACTCTGTTATTTTTTGGGCGAAGCTCTTTTTTTGCGACTCAAGGTCATTTTTGCGTCTAGAATTTTCACGTGGTATCACTTTTGCAGCCAAAATTGGTCAAGCTGTGGTAAACCTGAAGCTACAGGTCAAATGAGAGCTTTTTCTCACATAATATCATTACCATGGCTTGGGATCGAATACACGATCTGACGACTTCAAATTGAACGCCTTATGACTATGCTAAGTGCCTTTACACCAAGAACTACACCGAGTTTCATTGGATCGCATTGTTAAGCCGCAAATTCAATTGAGGAGTCCAGAGAAATCCTGCAAAAACCAAAAATCAAACGCGGAAGTCAGTTTAAAAAAAATCTAAATATTCAAGGACGAAAAAAAAATGAGGGAAAAAACTGTGGAATCCGATGAAATTTTGCGGAATTTACTTCAACGATCAAAACTTGTTTGCAATAAACTTTTCAGAAAACAAAGTTCATTGAAATTTTCATTTTATGTAGGAATCATTGTGATTGGATTCCTTGAACAAATGTGCCCGTAAAAATTATAATAGATTTTTAGAAACGTGTTGTTTTATTATTGCTTAGCTAGATAACAAAGTTTGGCGTCTTCTAACTTGTTTTTTACTTTTTACCCAAGATTTTGAAAAAACTGAAAACTGGTTTTGCTGAATTTTTGTTCTGCTCAACATTACGAGGCCAAAGTTTGCACTGGATAGGCGCACAATTTTGTGTCTGTATGTTTCCGGATTCCAGAGACAAGTCATTAAGCATGGTGAAATTTTGTCGGAACGATCAAAGAAATTGAAAGAACAAAAGAAGAACAAAGGCAGCGTCCTTTTTGCGGAATCCGCTGTTAATTCATAAAAAAACACATTTTGGCCTAGTAATTGATTAAATGATAAATTGATGTGTATGTTTATAACGAGAAAGAGTCATTTCCTGTAGCCGTCGAACCACATCGGTTGAAACCGAAAAAGAAGACAAACTTTTCAACATGTTTGATAATCTCTTCTGACCAGTCGCTGCAATTTTTCAACTCAGCTGCTGGCTCGAAATTTTCACCATTGTTTGGATGGTTGTTTGCTGTCTTTTCATTGTTTGAATATTTCTCAAGGTTGTAAATATTGGACCAGCGAGCATTCGAAATCATCGGCAAAAATGTATTAATTCTCACATCAGATTTACGCGAGCTAATAATGACAAGAAAAATAATAGTTAAACAAAGAATAAAGAAGCTATCATAGTTAAACTTCATTTCAAAAAATTCAGCTTATAAAAAATTGTATCTATTAAACCTATTAAAAAGTAAATTTATTGTCTCTTTCAACAAAAAGAAGTCTATTTATCTGATTGAAGAAATGTATTAAAATCATAAGCAGATGGAAACTATAATGCTTGCGAATTGATAAGATTCGGTCAGAGGCAAAGAAATGTTCGGTCAGGCAAAGAGTTTTTTTATTCAAATATTCATGAGTAGGAGCCACTGTTCAAATTTAGCAGTTCATTTCTGAATCGAAATGGAAAAAAAACTAAAATTTCATTGTTATGATTATTAATGAAAAAAGAAAACGTAGTTGATATTTTTTGCATGTGATAAATGTCAGACAGTGGCCAATAACCATTTCAAGCGGTGTCAAAGATATTGCTTCTCAACGGAACAAAAAAACGGGTAAATAAAGAGCAAGTCAAATTAGCCCAACGAGACAACTGACTTTTTCAATTGAAACTTTTGCTGAACCATAGTTTGCTGAAACATAAATTATGTTTACATTTTCCATGTGCTACTCTTTTCCATCCGCCAGACCAGGATCTGTCAAATATAAATTGTGGAAGCAAATTTAGAATTTATATTTTATAAAAAAAAGTTTTGAGTCGATTCCGATGCGAAAAGTATTAAAATCTAATGAACGACTACTCACATTTTAACATTGTTTTTACGGCTTCTAAAATACTTCGAGTAACTATGAAATTTCTGGAAAAATCTTTTTTGTGCAAAAATCTGGAAAAAAAACTAAGAAGTTTCTAAGAAAAAATCAGAAAAAAAATCACTTTCAAATTTACCCTGTGCATAATAACACGCTCTGTATGCTCGCTGATATGAATTCGACCAAATAGTGAACTTTTTGAAGGCACAAACGGGACTGCTGTTTAATAGGGTATGAGTCAGGTCAAGGTTCACTGTTTAGTTCATCTGCAAACATTAATCTATCCCTGTAATTTCACTAATTTGCAGTGATCAGAATAAGTAAATCTGAAAATTGAAAACAGCACTGGGTCATTGCTGAATCAGTTTTTTTCACTGAACTGCATTTTTTATGATTTTTGATTGATTTCTTATCTAAGCTACATTGTCACTTGCAAAATCTGATACAGAGCTGACACTTTCATGTTACACTACTGGAGACATATTTCCTTTGCGACTTCGACTTGGGTTCGCTTCAGTGTTATAAGAAATAACAAACATGCCTTAACATGACTTAATTAGGTCCCTTCCATGATTTTTTGGTCGGATAATTTTAAACAATTATCTAATAACTTTTAAGAAAAATTTTAAGGAAAAAAGTGTGATGAAGAGTTTTTTGTCAAGAAGTCAGATTTTTAGTGAGCCCGTTAGTGACAAGCATAGAATTGTTTTCAAAGTTTTCAAAAATTATCAATTTGTTTTTGTATAGAGAACGCATTTTTAAAGGCATAGAAAATTATATATTTGGATCATATAGCTTCCCGGTATTCATTTTTATCTAATATTTGTGCCAGATTATTTTGCCTTTTATGTTTCTGCAAATCTTGAAATCTCGTAGCTTAAAATTTTTTTTATCTATTTTTCTCATTATTTTTTGAAATTTCAGAATTTTACTCGGACAGCCGAAAGCACAATAGTAGATATTTTAGTTCGGCAATAAATTATCGCAAGCACATACATGCCATAATTTTTTTTTCCGTAAAAATTAACAAACAAAAATCAGAAAAAACAGCTTGTATGTCAGTGCAAAGCCCTGCATGATCTGACTGCTTTTTAGTTGCTTTCGAATTATTTTTTGATATATCGTTTTATAAACTATAGACTAAAGATTAATATAAAATTAATATAAAATATTAGTGGAGTTCTAAGTTCAATACTTTAAGGAAATATTATGAACATGATTTCAATTCAGAACATTTTTTTTATCGCGGATTAGTATTCGCTTTTAGCATTCTTTAAAAAGTGCCCAAGTTTTGATCGAGCAGTTAACCTCCAGTCAATTTGCATTAATGATAGTATGTAGCCCATGCGCTGGGAACACGAAGATTCCAGGTTCGTTGACAACTCTAGAACATTCTTTCAAAGTTGGTCTGAATAAAGAAACCCAGTCAAATATAATCCTAACTCTACGCGAAAGAAGAAACAACAAGTTTAATAGCTCAATCTATGCAGGATATATTTTATAAAAATTGAAAATTAGCTTTTTCAGTTCAAGTGACAAAAAAACACCTATTTCTTAAAAAAATTTTGGCAAAAATTGATTATCAATACCATATTAAATTTTTTAAAGAATTCATAATTGCTAATGATTATGATAACTTGAAGAAAAGTTAGGAACTTTAATAACCAATTGGATTTGATTATAGATCCTATAGACAATCACAGATGTTTGAGCCCCCATAATGTCCTCTTTGGTAAAACCTTACTTCATCACAATTTGGCCATGCTTCCCTAAAATCCTTGTAAAGTCTCCTGTGGCGCCGATGCTCATTCATTTTAAAGAGGGAGCGCGCACACGAAAAAAAAAACGTTTTTATTTTTGGTCTGTGATATGCGTTGCGATATCAATTGAAAACAAGTTGTAATTCAATACTGTATTCTG